GTTTTCCCTAAAATCAATTTCCTCAACACTGCATAAACAATATGCATTTCCATAAAACACCTCATCTAATTGTGCCACAAAGTTGACAAGTCCAAGAAAAATACCAGGGTTGGTGGAGCCCTCAGTTTCATCTTTGCCTCGCAAAGCTAACTCAAAACACTCCGCAAAACTTCACACACTGGATTAGCCGGCTGAGGATGTGGCGGTTCTTGCTAACCTCATCGTTGTGGCGGCGGACAGCTAGCCTGTATCCCTCATCCAGTTGAGTGGCAATGTTCACTCTCCCCAAAGCAGACAATCTCAAACAGCTATCCATGTGGGTCTTTGACAGCTCATGTTTCTTAATCTTTTCTGAAAGATGGTTGCATGTCCGTTACACCAGTCGCTGTCCAAGCGGTGCTGTCTGCCGTGCCGCCTTCAGGGTGAAAGAGTAAGCAGGGGTAGCAGAAGACTGCATTAGCTACATCGCAGCCTGCTAGCCAGGTTTTTCGTTCGTACCAATTTTTGGAAAATCCTCGGGTGTAGGACTTTCCCCCTTTAGTAGAAACCTGTTGAATTATTAAATTTGGTCTGGGAGGTCCTAATTGTTTCGTTGCCAATTTATCTTGATTTGTTCGCCGACAAAAAGGAACTTCTTTTAAAGAGACAATCGAGTTGCACTGAACGCTAGCCATCTTGACAGTAGTACGTGAATTGATTGACGCTGCTACCCGCTCTTTTCTTAGTTACGTTCATGGTTATGTTACGTATGACGAAAGCGCGTAAGTGCAAGCCCTCCCGGCACCCATAGAGATTGTATTGAAAGCTCTGATATTTGAAAAAAAAAGATTTTACATGAGAGTCTATGAGAGACTTCTGGGGCGATTTTCAACCTGACTGAAATCGCCCCAAAAGGGGCGGGGCCATTTGAAGCACGACTTTAGCCTGATTGGACATTTAGTGGCAGATCAGACATCTAGATTAGAACACTGATAACTACTGTTGCCGTGATATAATTGATTAGAAAAAAAATCCCTTCTTTTTCCCGTTTGGCAGTGCGTCGCCCATATCGCCCTAATGAACACACCGCCCCTGCTCTGCCCTCTCTTTTCAATTTGGCTGTAGGGCTTATAGGATCTTTAGAAATGCAACTCTGCATCACTCGCTTGACTGGTCTTTATCATGGCCAATGAAAACTTTGACATCCCCTCATGGCTTAACGTATTACGCTTAGATTCATTAAACCATACATACAACACCAAGCGTCTTGGTTAAGGTTGGTCATTCTTTGTAATCAACTTGCAATTGATCATGGGGCTGTAGTTTGTATCAATGTTACATACAAAATGAAAGCTAGGCCTCGTCTCCAGTTGGCCTTGAGCCAATTGCTAATTAGGTAGGCCTACATCTACTGGTGTGAATCTTTTTGAAAAATTGATGTTTAGAAAGACAAAACTATTTAGTGATGACTTGCATTAGGCTAAAGTTGGCTGTGGGACCAATCACTCAACCATTGATTTAATTAAATAATTGAGGAGACACTTTCAATACTTTAGCCTGAATTAAATCAGTCCAAAAGAATAGATAGATGTCTTGAGACAGAGGACAACGTTGTATCATTGATGCTGGTAAAATATTGGATTATTATCTGAACAATACCAATGGAGCAGTTCACTCACTCTGCTGGCGCATCATACACAGGGCCGGATTAACTCACTCTGCTGGTGCATCATACACAGGGCCGGATTAACTCACTCTGCTGGCGCATCATACACAGGGCCGGATTAACTCACTCTGCTGGTGCATCATACACAGGGCCGGATTAACTCACTCTGCTGGCGCATCATACACAGGGCCGGATTAACTCACTCTGCTGGTGCATCATACACAGGGCCGGATTAACTCACTCTGCTGGTGCATCATACACAGGGCCGGATTAACTCACTCTGCTGGCGCATCATACACAGGGCCGGATTAACTCACTCTGCTGGTGCATCATACACAGGGCCGGATTAACTCACTCTGCTGTGCATCATACACAGGGCCGGATTAACTCACTCTACTGGCGCATCATACACAGGGCCGGATTAACTCACTATGCTGGCGCATCATACACAGGGCCGGATTAACTCACTATGCTGGCGCATCATACACAGGGCCGGATTAACTCACTCTGCTGGTGCATCATACACAGGGCCGGATTAACTCACTCTGCTGGGCATCATCACAGGGCCGGATTAACTCACTCTGCTGGTGCATCATACACAGGGCCGGATTAACTCACTCTGCTGGCGCATCATACACGGGGCTCAGGGGTTTCATTTTTTAAAATCTGGCCCTGTGTATGGTGCACTGACAAACTGAGATCAATCTGGTCTTGAATTCAAACAAACAATATCCCAGGCCAATGAAGCCACACACAGATTGTACAGTATTAGGATGATCTATATATCTGTCTATCTATCTATCTGTCTGTCTGTCTATCTATCTATCTATCTATCTATCTATCTATCTATCTATCTTCTATCTATCTATCTATCTATCTATCTATCTATCTATCTATCTATCGATCTATCTAGTCTATCTATCTATCTATCATCTATCGATCTATCTATCTATCTATCTCTCATCTCTCTCTCTCTCTCTCTCTCTCTCTCTCTCTCTCTCTCTCTCTCTCTCTCTCCTCTCTCTCTCTCTCTCTCTATATATATATATATACATATATATATATATATATATATATATATACATTTGTATTATAGGCTACAGTAGGCTACTAAATATAATGTCCAGTGGCACACTGACTCACCTAATGATGAAGATGAAGCCGCAGGCCACTACTCACGGTGATGGCCGAAGCGCTCGTCTTGGCAAGATATCTCAAGATGAGCTACTTTGAAAAACAGTGCTGCTGTTAGCAAAAAGTTGTGAATTGTTGAGAAAAAAGGTTTATATTGCTTCTACAGACGGATTAGTCTAATCTTTTCAGAGGTAGGCTTTTGCTTTCCAAACTGTACGTTTTTCCTGCAATTGTATTTTGAAATGTGTAAAGGGCAAACAGACAGCCGCAACCAACCATAGAACTATAATCCATAGACGGCAGTTCCCATTCAAGTCAGGACTGGCAGCCATTGCTAGCATACCCATGAGTTTAACACTCAAATTGCCAGGGTAAGAGGTTCCAAAACCCTTCTATGGATTGTATGTCTATGGCCACAATGCAACAAGCTGTATATTTGGCGCCTGCTGCCTAAACAGCGGCCTTCCTGACTGTAGGCAACAGGAAACTGCCAAAATAAAGGAAACACTTGAGTATACCAGGGATAAAAAGCATATGTCATGGTTTAGGTCCACTTGTAGAATCTATGTCAAGGAGCGTTGAAGCTGTTCTGGCAGCTCATGGTGGCCCAACACCCTTTAAGACACTTTATGTTGGTGTTTCCTTTATTTTTGACAGTTACCTGAATGCACACACATAAAAAGTGGATTCAATTTAAATATTGATCCTCTGTGGTTAAATGATGCTCTCTGATATATTGTGATCATTGAGAGAGGGCCCCTGTGGTTAAACGATGCTCTCTGATATATTGTGAGCATTGAGAGAGGGCCCCTGTGGTTGGAATATACAAAAAGTAATTGTTATTTGTTAGTTTTTTTCCTCCAGGGCCCCCTATAGCCTTGTGCCCAGCCCCTGACTCACACAATTGACCAGTCACATTTATTTATTATGCATTATTATTTATTTTTTATTAATCAGTTACCCAAACAAGTCAGGGCCCCCCCAGTTATCGACATGGCCCCCCTACCTCCTCTCCTCCCCCATCTGATGATTAGTGGCAGCAGGCAGCAGAAGGCTGTCTACACTCATTGTTAGTGGGCTCCTGAATCCTCCTGTGGTTGGGGGTTGCAGTAAAAACATATAAAGGATATATGTAGTATATATTATTATTATTATAACATTTTTTGCTGACTCTTGGGCCTCGAAGCAGGGGCTTCAGCACCGGTAAGCCCCTGCATTAAACCGGCCCTGGTCATTCACTCTGCTTGTGAGTCATTGACTTTCTTCTTGGAAAAGCGGTGACGGGCGCCTTTGTGTGGCTTTACGGAAAATGACACCAAAAGAGTTGAAAACTCTAATTCATAGGAATCCAATAAATCAGTAAACTTAAACGACAATTGCATTAATAATACGTGTTAAATCTACTGTTGAACAGATCGTATTGACATCTTTTTTCACACCTTTATGGTTACGCACAAGTTGACAATTAGGCTATAGACTTCACTTTCTGTACCGATTGGTCAACTTTGATAAGATAGGCCTTCAAGTTGATAACTTGGGCACTATCACTTATTCTAGCTAATAGTCTACTTAGGCTAAACAAATCCTTCATCATCGACAGTCCCATCTCTGAGGTCGCTGGCGATGCACAGCCCAGCGAACAGCTCTAGAGAACTATTTTAGAATTCATCCATCCCCTTTCCTGGACCAAGTTCCTTTGGGAAGACCAATAAAAAGCATGGGAAAATTCTCCCCACTTTTTCCGATTACAGGGCTGGTTAAAGAAAGCACACCCCACCGCCTGCCGAACATACCACAGAGTAGCAGAACGGAGGAACAGGCCTGGTGTAGGACTGAGGAGAAGTAAACAAGCAGCAGAACACAACTTTACGACTGACAGGTAAGGATGCGCCGCTTTTATCTTAAAACATATTTATTTTTTAATGTAGGCTATTCTTATGACATATCGGTCGCCCATAACTTTTATTTTTCTTCTTAGAATTATCTGTGAGTTATGCCTGTGATAATGATAGCGTTACATAAAAAGTGATGCATGCGTATGGCATTGTAGGCATTTAAATGATCTGTATAGCAAAGTCAATATGACAGATTAAATTAACATAGGGTTTGCTTACATTTAAGAGTATACAAAAATTGATAGAGTTTGCCCCAATTATTGGGGAATATATGTAATACTTTTGGATGGTAAATAGACCTGCACATACAGGAAAAATAAAATAAAATGTGCCATTAAACTACAACAAAGAAACATATGGAGTAAGACTGGATGGATGGACAGAAGGACAGGGACACAGATGGACAGATGGACAGAAGGACAGGGACACAGATGGACAGGGACACAGATGGACAGGGACACAGATGGACAGGGACACAGAAGGACAGGGACACAGGTGGACAGGGACACAGATGGACAGGGACACAGATGGACAGGGACATAGATGGACAGGGACACAGAAGGACAGGGACACAGGTGGACAGGGACACAGATGGACAGGGACACAGATGGACAGGGACACAGAAGGACAGGGACACAGAAGGACAGGGACACAGATGGACAGATGGACAGAAGGACAGGGACACAGATGGACAGGGACACAGATGGACAGGGACACAGAAGGACAGGGAAACAGATGGACAGGGTCACAGATGGACAGGGACACAGAAGGACAGGGACACAGATGGACAGGGACACAGATGGACAGGGACACAGAAGGACAGGGACACAGGTGGACAGGGACACAGAAGGATAGGGACACAGAAAGACAGGGAAACAGATGGACAGGGTCACAGATGGACAGGGACACAGGTGGCCAGATGGACAGAAGGACAGGGACACAGAAGGACAGATGGACAGAAGGACAGGGACACAGATGGACAGGGACACAGAAGGACAGGGACACAGGTGGCCAGGGACACAGAAGGATAGGGACACAGAAGGACAGGGAAACAGATGGACAGGGTCACAGATGGACAGGGACACAGGTGGCCAGATGGACAGAAGGACAGGGACACAGAAGGACAGATGGACAGAAGGACAGGGACACAGATGGACAGGGACACAGATGGACAGGGACACAGATGGACAGGTGGACAGATGGACAGGGACACAGATGGACAGGGACACAGGTGGACAGAAGGACAGGGACACAGGTGGCCAGATGGACAGTGTTAATATTTCTGGCCTCATATAACATTGTTTTAACAGAGGATTGTGACCGTGCAGTAGTGATTGAGGGGGAAGCTAGAAAGAAGAGGCCATTTACAGTACCTCCAGCGCCCCCAACAGGACACAGTTTTATTGTAACCCTCGACAACCTGATTTAACTTGTCAACTAATCATCAAGCCCTCAATGAGTTGAATGAGGTGTGTTTGTCAAGGACTACAACGAATCTGTGTACTGTTGGGGGTACTCGAGGACCAGGGTTGGGAAACATTGAGTCATACAGTATACAACTAAACAGGACTGGCCTTGTGTGCGTGTGAAATGCTGTGTCAGTATTTGTATTTATTATGGATCCCCATTAGCTGCTGGGGTCCGGCAAAATTAAGGCAGTTATACCATTTTTAAAACATTACAATACATTCATAACGGATTTCACAACACACCAAGTGTGTGCCCTCAGGCCCCTACTCTACTACCACATATCTACAACACAACATCCACGTGTACCTGTGTGTATAGTGTGTATGTTATCATGTGTGTGTATGCATGTGTCTGTGCCTATGTTGGTGTTGCTTTACGGTCCCCGCTGTTCCATAAGGTGTATTTTTACCTGTTTTTTTTTTTCAATCTGATTCTACTGCTTGCATCAGTTACCTGATGTGGAATAGAGTTCCATGTAGTCATGGCTCTATGTAGTACTGTGCGCCTCCCATAGTCTGTTCTGGACTTGGGGACTGTGAAGAGACCTCTGGTGGCATGTCTTGTGGGGTATGCAAGGGTGTCTGAGCTGTGTGCTAGTAGTTTAAACAGACAGCTCGGTGCTTTCAACATGTCAGTCTTCTCACAAATATAAGTAGCGATGAAGTTAACCTCTCCTCCACATTGAGCCAGGAGAGATTGACATGCATATTATGAATGTTTGCTCTACAGTATGTCTGTCACGATCGTCTATAAAGGGAGCAGACCAATACGCAGCGCGTTGAGTGAACATGATGACTTCATTTAAATAAAAGCAACCACGAAAACAACAAACAAATGACGATAGTGAAGTCCTACAGTGACTATGACTGAACCTGGAACAAAAACCCACAATTCCCACAGGAAAACAATCAGAATAAATATGGCTCCCAATCAGAGATAACGAGCCGACAGCTGACACTCGTTACCTCCGATTGGGAGTCATCGACCAAACCTAGAAATAAACCCCACAGAACTGCAAACATAGAAATACACCCAAATTCCAACATAACCAAACCAAACCCCAACAAAACAAATACACCCTGGCTCAAATATAAAAGTCCCGGAGCCAGAGTGTCACAATGTCTATATCCAAGGGCCAGCCGTGCTGCCCTGTTCTGAGCCAATTGTAATTTTCCTAAGTCCCTCTTTGTGGCACCTGACCACACGACTGAACAGTAGTCTAGGTGCAACAAAACTATGGCCTGTAGGACCTGCCTTGTTGATAGTGCTGTTAAAAAGATAGAGCAGCGCTTTAAAATGGACAGACTTCTCCCCATCTTAGCTACTGTTGTATCAATATGTTTTGACCATGACAGTTTACAATCCAGGGTTACTCCAAGCAGTTTAGTCACCTCAACTTGCTCAATTTCCACATTATTTATTACAATTTAGTTGAGGTTTAGTGAATGATTTGTCCCAAATACAATGCTTTTAGTTTTTGAAATATGTAGGACTAACTTATTCCTTGCCACTCATTCTGAAACTAACTGCAGCTCTTTGTTAAGTGTTACAGTCATTTCAGTCGCTGTAGTAGCTGACATGTATAGTGTTGAGTCATCCGCATATATAGATACATTGGCTTTACTCAAAGCCAGTGTCATGTCGTTAATAAAGATTGAAAAAAGTACGGTGCCTAGACAGCTGCCCCGGGGGAAATTTCCGATTTACCTGGGATTTTTGGAAGGCTACAATTTAAAGAACGCCCCCGTGTTCTGTTAACAGGTAACTCTTTATCCCCAAATAGCTCATGGGCCCCCTGCCAAAAAAAGGAGCGTGAGCGGCGAGAGGAGAGAGGGGGAAGAGAAGAGAGAGAGAGCACTGACGAGACGAGAGAAAGGAAGAGAAGAGAGCGAGAGAGAAGAGAGAGAGAAAGGGGGAAACACGTACGAAGGGAGCAGACGAGAGAGGAGAAGCCAAGAGAAGAGAGGAGAGAGAAGAAGACACTGAGCAAGTGAAGAGAACGAGCGAGCAGAGAAGGCGGGGGAGAAAAGAGAGAGAAGAGAGAGAGAGAAGAGAGAGATAGGAGAGGATGAGAGAGAGGAAGGGAGGGGAGAGAGAGAGAGAGGAGCGAAGCCGTGACGGAGGCGAAAAGGGGGGGAGAGAGAGCCCAATAAACTAACCGTGGAATAGCGTCAACACAAACCCTTTGGGGGAAAACCTCTCTTATCATTTAAGCGACATTCATTTTTCCTCAGTAAAAAAAGTACTGGGAGCAAAATTAAAAAGGCTTTTTTTCCAAATTACCGTCACAACCACGTATTCACCCTGCACACCCTAATTGATAAACAAACAAACCAAAACAAAGGCAAAGTCTTCTCATGCTTTGTTGATTTCCAAAAAGCTTTTGACTCAATTTGGCATGAGGGTCTGCTATACAAATTGATGGAAAGTGGGGTTGGGGGAAAAAACATACGACATTATAAAATCCATGTACACAAACAACAAGTGTGCGGTTAAAAATTGGCAAAAAAACACACACATTTCTTTCCACAGGGCCGTGGGGTGAGACAGGGATGCAGTTTAGCCCCACCCTCTTCAACATATATATCAACGAATTGGCGAGTGGCACTAGAACAGTCTGCAGCACCCCGGCCTCACCCTACTAGAATCTGAAGTCAAATGTCTTCTGTTTGCTGATGATCTGGTGCTTCTGTCACCAACCAAGGAGGTGCTACAGCAGCACCTAGATCTTCTGCACAGATTATGTCAGACCTGGGCCCTGACAGTAAATCTCAGTAAGACAAAAATAATGGTGTTTCCAAAAAAGGTCCAGTTGCCAGGACCACAAATACAAATTCCATCTAGACAAACCGTTGCCCTAGAGCACACCAAAAACTATACATACCTCGGCCTAAACATCAGCGCCACAGGTAACTTCCACAAAGCTGAGAACGATCTGAGAGACAAGGCAAGAAGGGCCTTCTATGCCATCAAAAGGAACATAAAATTTGACCATACCAATTAGGATCTGGCTAAAAATACTTGAATCAGTTATAGAACCCATTGCCCTTTATGGTTCTGAGGTCTGGGGTCCGCTCACCAACCAAGAATTCACAAAATGGGACAAACACCTAATTGAGACTGCATGCAGAATTCTGCAAAAACATCCTCCGTGTACAACGTAAAACACCAAATAATGCATGCAGAGTAGAATTAGGCCAATACCCGCTAATTATCAAAATCCAGAAAAGAGCCGTTAAATTCTATAACCCACTTAAAAGGAAGCGATTCCCAAACCTTCCATAACAAAGCCATCACCTACAGAGAGATGAACGTGGAGAAGAGTCCCCTAAGTAAGCTTGTCCTGGGGCTCTGTTCACAAACACAAACAGACCCCACTCAGCCCCAGGACAACAACAACAACACAATTAGACCCAACCAAATCATGAGAAAACAAAAAGAGAATTACTTGACACATTGGAAAGAACAAACAAAAAAACTGAGCAAACTCGAATGCTATTTGGCCCTAAGCAGAGAGTACACAGTGGCAGAATACCTGACCACTGTGACTGACCCAAACTTAAGGAAAGCTTTGACTATGTACAGACTCAGTGAGCATAGCCTTGCTATTGAGAAAGGCCGCCGTAGGCAGACCTGGCTCTCAAGAGAAGACAGGCTATGTGCACACTGCCCACAAAATGAGGTGGAAACTGAGCTGCACTTCCTAACCTCCTGCCAAATGTATGACCATATTAGAGACACATATTTCCCTCAGATTACAGCGATCCACAAAGAATTCGAAAACAAACCCAATTTTGATAAACTCCCTTATCTACTGGGTGAAAAACCACAGTGTGCCATCACAGCAGCAAGATTTGTGACCTGTTGCCACAAGAAAAGGGCAACCAGTGAAGAACAAACACCATTCTAAGTACAACCCATATTTATGTTTATTTATTTTCCCATTTGTACTTTAACTATTTGCACATTGTTACACAAACACACTGTATATAATACATAATATGACATTTGAAATGTCCTTTATTCTTTTGAACTTCTGAGTGTAATGGGTTTATGTTAAATATTTATTGTTTTATTTCATTTTGTTTACTAATCTACTTCACTTCTTTGGGCAATGTTAACACAACGTTCCATGCCCATAAAGGCCCTTAAATTGAAATTGAAATTTGGAAATTGAATTGAGAGCAGAGAGGCGAGAGCGAATCATAGAGAGAGAGAGAGAGGAGAAGAGAGAGAGGGAGAGAGAGAGAGAGAGAGATATCGAGAGATAACTGAGATATTCGATATAAGAGACATACAGACAGGAGATAGAGAGAGAGGAGAGACAAAAAGAGAGAGAGAGAGAGAGAGAATAGAGCGACGAGACAGACGAGAGAGATAGAGCTACAGACAGACAGGCATACAGACAGGACAACAGACAACAGACATACATACAGACAGAACATACAACAGACCAATACCGACCGACAGAGAGAGAGAGAGAGAGGATAGAGAGAGAGAGAGAGATCGAGAAGAAGAGATAGAGAAAGAAGAGAGAGAGAGAGAGAGAGAGAGAGAGAGTGAGAGGAAACAAACAACCAAACAGATAAAAGTCAGGAGTTGGCCCAGTTCACAGGATGTTTATGTACTTGTGGTGTGTGTGTGTGTGTGTGTGAGAATCATGTGGACATTTCAGGGGACAGCTTAACAACAGTCCCCCCAGGGGAGCGTAGACTGGAAGAGACACAGCATTGTACGTCACTGAGACAGACAAAAACGGTTGCAGAGAATCATGAATCTCATTCTGAACGTTGCGTAAATGTAATGAAATCAATATCATATAACACCAGTGAAGTATGCTGAGAACGACAACTGTGTTACGTAATATGATACAGACAAAAAAAGCCTAAAATAATTGATTTGTAATACTATTCCTAGGGTTTCATTGTTTATTGTATGATAAGACCAAAAACATGAAGGTGGAAATACCCTAAGCATGGTACATGTGTTGGGTGGTGAGCTCATGGAGGTGTGATGTTGTGTTCTGCCGCACGTGATTTCTTGTAAAAGGCAAGGCACTATTATTCTAGAAACTTCCAGGAGCCATGTTAGATCACGCAGGGCACGTGGTGCTTACGAAATAACATGTTTATAAAAGCCAAAATGAGATATCAGTTCAGTCACATGTAAAATATAAAGGTGCTTCAGTCACAGGTAAAACATAAAGGTGCTTCAGTCACAGATAAAACATAAAGGTGCTTCAGTCACAGATAAAACATAAAGGTGCTTCAGTCACAGATAAAATATAAAGGTGCTTCAGTCACAGATAAAACATAAAGGTGCTTCAGTCACAGATAGAACATAAAGGTGTTTCAGTCACAGATAAAACATAAAGGTGCTTCAGTCACAGATAAAACATAAAGGTGCTTCAGTCACAGATTAAACATAAAGGTGTTTCAGTCACAGATAGAACATAAAGGTGCTTCATAGTAGTAGGTGTTGTTATTATGTTGTAATAATTTAGAAACGTTTTGACGGCACCCCGGAATTGGTATTCAGATGTTTCACCTAGTTTCACCGGTGTGTGTGTGTGTGTGTGTGTGTGTGTGTGTGTGTGTGTGTGTGTGAGAGAGAGAGTCTGTTTTTATTGTGTGTGTATGCTGATATACAGTACATTATCAAATGTTTTTACGTTGTGTATGGTGTGTTAACATGAGCGTGTTCACCTGTCACCCCCCTGTAGGTGACAGAGGATGTCCAGGGCTGACTGGTCCTTCCTGGAGCACCTGTTGGAGGAGGGGCAGGAGTATAGCACCGGGGTGGGCCGTGTCTGGCTCACTGTCCTCTTCCTGTTCCGCATGCTGGTCCTGGGCACCGCCGCAGAGTCAGCCTGGGACGACGAACAGGTCGACTTCGTCTGTAATACCAGGCAACCTGGATGTACCGCCGTGTGTTACGACAAAGCCTTCCCCATATCACATTACCGGTATTTTGTCCTCCAGGTTATTTTTGTTTCGACACCGACTGTTTTTTACTTTGGATATGTGGCCATGAGGAAGAAGAAGAAAGAGGAGGAGGAGGAGAGGACAGAGGAGAGGACGGAGGAGGGAGGTGGTGGTGAGGGAGGGGAGAGGGGAGGAGTAAAGAAGGATAGGGAGAAGAAGAGGGAGGTGAGAAAGGGGGATGAGATCGAAGAACCAGAGGAGGAGAAAGGAGGGGGAAAGGTGGTGAACCCTAAGCTGAAGGGACGTCTTCTCTGTGCCTACGCCACCAGCATCCTCCTCAAGGTCCTCCTGGAGGTCGGCTTCATCGTCGGACTATGGTACCTCTACGGCTTCGTGATCCCGGCCCGGTTCGAGTGCGTCCGGGCCCCCTGTCCTCACACGGTGGACTGCTTCGTCTCCAGACCCACGGAGAAGACCATCTTCACCATCTACACCCAGGCCATCGCTGGAGTCTCTCTCCTTCTCAACCTGGTAGAACTCCTCCACCTCCTCCAGCTAGCCATCACCCACCACCTGGAGAAACGCTATGCCCAGGAGCAGTACACCTTTCCTGGCATAGCCGGGGTCCGAATCCAGCCTGACGCTCCAGGGCTGGAGATGGAGATGCAGCGAGCTCCGTCTTACCAGGAGAAGGGCCATCTGTATTTGCCCATGGGGGAGGACGGCTACGCCAAGCCCAGTGAGAGTTATCTGGACCTGGGGTCGAGAGCAGGGATGGACCCTGGTGGTGACCTGCTCCCCAGTTATCTGAACTGTATGGGGGTGATGAGGACTACACACTCTTCAGGGAGAGCGCACCCTAAGAAATACAACACACAACACACACATAGCAACAGCAAACACAGTAAGGGTGCCCAGAAGGGACACAGCAACAAACACAGTAAGCATTATGTATGAGGAAACATGAGAGGTTTGGGTTCTGTGGTCCTCTGTAGCTCAATTGGTAGAGCATGGCGCTTGTAACGCCAGGGTAGTGGGTTCGATCCCCGGGACCACCCATACGTAAAAATGTATGCACACATGACTGTAAGTCGCTTTGGATAAAATCGTCTGCTAAATGGCATATTATTATTATTTATTATTTAATAGGAATAAGCCATGTGCCACTACAGACTGACACAGTCAGTTCCAAGGGGGTTGGAGTGCCCTTCCAAGGGGGGTTGGGGTGCCCTTCCAAGGGGGGTTGGGGTGCCCTTCCAAGGGGGGTTGGGGTGCCCTTCCAAGGGGGGTTGGAGTGCCCTTCCAAGGGGGGTGGGGGTGCCCTTCCAAGGGGGGTTGGAGTGCCCTTCCAAGGGGGGTTGGGGGGCCCTTCCAAGGGGGTTGGGGTGCCCTTCCAAGGGGGGTTGGGGTGCCCTTCCAAGGGGGGTTGGGGTGCCCTTCCAAGGGGGGTTGGGGTGCCCTTCCAAGGGGGGTTGGGGTGCCCTTCCAAGGGGGGTTGGAGTTTCCAAGGAAACAAATGCACAAGAATAAGGAAACACTTTACTTTGACATATATCGCATTATTATATGGCTGTTATAACACATATATAAGAGTGTAAAAACCCACAAAACCTACCACGGTAGTTATTTAATGGCTCGTTATAACACATACAGTACCAGTCAAAGGTTTGGACACACCGACTCATTCAAGGGTTTTTATTTTATTTTACTATTTTCTACATTGTAGGATAATAGTGATGACATCAAAACTATGAGATAACACATATGGAATCATGTAGTAACCAGATAAGTGTTAAACAAATCAAAATATATTTTAGATTTTGGATTCTTCAAAGTAGCCACCCTGTGCATTGACGACAGCATTGCACATTCTTGGCATTCTCTCAACCAGCTTCACCTGGAATGCTTTTCCAACAGTCTTGGAGTTCCCACATATGCTGAGCACTTGTTGGCTGTTTTTCCTTCACTCTGCGGTCCAACTCATCCCAAACCATCTCAATTGGGTTGAGGTCGGGTGATTGTGGAGACCAGGTCATCTGATGCAGCACTCCATCACTCTCCTTCTTGGTCAAATAGCCCTTACACAGCCTGGAGGTGTGTTGGGTCATTGTCCTGTTGAAAAGCAAATGATAGTCCCACTAAGCGCAAACCAGATGGGATGGCGTCTCGCTGCAGAATGCTGTGGTAGCCATAATGGTTAAGTGTGCCTTGAATTCTAAATAAATAACCGACAGTGTCACCAGCAAAGCACCCTCACATCATAACACCTCCCCCTCCATGCTTCATGGTGGGAACCTCACATGCAAGATCATCCATTACCCTACTCTTTATCTCTCACAAAGACACTGTGGTTGGAACCAAAGTCTCAAATTTGGATTAATCAGACCAAAAGACAGATTTCCACCGGTCTAATGTCCATTGCGCATGTTTCTTGGCCCAAGCAAGTCTCTTCTTCTTATTGGTGTTCTTTAATAGTGGTTTCTTTGCAGCAATTCGACCATGAAAGGCCTGATTCATGCAGTCTCCTCTGAAAAGTTGATGTTGAGATGTGTCTGTTACTTGAACTCTGTGAAGCACTTATTTGGTCTGCAATCTGAGGTGCCGTTAACTCTAATGAACTTATCCTCTACAGCAGAAGTAACTTTGGGTTTTCCTGTCCTGTGGCGGTCCTCATGAGAGCCAGTTTCATCATAGCGCTTGATGGTTTTTACAACTGCACTTGAAGAAACTTTCAAAGTACTTGAAAAAACCCAGATTGACTGACCTTCATGTCTTAAAGTAGTGATGGACTGTCATTTCTCTTTGCTTATTTGAGCTGTTCTTGCCATAATATGGACTTGGTATTTTACCAAATAGGGCTATCTTCTGTCACAACACAACTGATTGGCTCAAACACATTAAGAAGGAAAGAAATTCCACGAATTAACTTTTCACAACACACACCTCTTAATTTAAATGCATTCCAGGTGACTACCTCATGAAGCTGGTTGAGAGAATGCCAAGAGTGTGCAAAGCTGTCATCAAGGCAAAGGGTGGCTACTTTGAAGAATCTCAAATATAAAATATATTTTGATTTGTTTAACACTTTTTTGGTTACTACATGATTCCATATGTGTTATTTCACAGTTGTGATGTCTTCACTATTATTCTACATTCATAAAAATGAAGAAAAACCCTGGAAACACTAGGTGTCCAAACAAAACCTACCACACCAGGCAAAACATTACATTACACCATAGCCTACTTGTCAACAGTGTGTTTATGTAATATATATTTTTTAATTGACCATATTAAATTATCATTGTAATTGCGCACACACAGACATGCACTGACCCCAATGCTCTGTTGCTGATGACTGGGATGAATGCAGGAGCAGATTTCAGGAGCAAGACAAGACACCCTGTTTTTGACTGATGACTGACATAAGGGCATGTAGGTGATAGGCCCATCTGGCTTATATGATTATGATGGTCATAATGCTTCATGACAGTGGCATAAAGTGTATTTTCTACTAGTTATTTAAAATATGATGAACAAAACATGACTGTAAATAATTAATGACAACAACAACAAAGGATTTAAGAAACACACTTTCATAGAAAATAAAGTTCTTGGCAGGAAAAAAAAAAAAAACTAATTTGAATAAATGTGGGTTTTGACACTCTTATGTAGGTATCATAACCAGCCATAAAATAACGCAATATATTTTACATTTACATTTACGTCATTTAGCAGACGCTCTTATCCAGAGCGACTTACAGGAGCAATTAGGGTTAAGTGCCTTGCTCAAGGGCACATCGACAGATTTTTCACCTAGTCGGCTCGGGGATTAGAACCAGCGACCTTTCGGTTACTGGCACTATGCTCTTAACCACTAAGCTACCTGCTGGCCTGTTATGACATGGTTATGACATGGTTATGACCGTGTTATTACAGTAAAGTGTCACCGATTGTATTGTACAACATTTGCCTTGAAGACCAAAGACAATGCAGTGGGACTAGATTAGATCTTGCTTTATTCAAATGGGAACATGAGAACCTTTCCTCAGGGGAGGAATAAGATCCTGGATCATGGAACACTAGAGAATGGGAAAACAATGAACATTGGAACAGTGAATGGATGTAGTATAATTCAGCCATTTCCACTTTAGGAATCCTTCTATTCCAACGGGAATGGGATAAGCCTATGCACTTGCTGAATGTGACAATGGAAAAAATAACTTGGCTTGGGATTCCATGGGGAAAACAGCCTACAGGCTCCATGCAGTGCAGTGGGGTTTTGTGGGAAAGCGTGGGGGGGGGGGGGGGGGGGGGTATGGTTATGTCCCAAAATGGCACCCTATTCCCTACATAGTACATTACTTTTGACCAGAGCATCATGGACCCTTAGACAAAAGTAACACACTATGTAGGGATTAGGGTGCCATTTTGGGACACATTCTATGTGTTCTTAAGCATGTTCCCTGAGGGATTACTGTGACCTCAGAATGCTGCTGGAGCCAATGGAATGTGCCGGACTACCCTGCCTCCCCAGAGACTAGTGGCCAAACACACCACACACACACACACGGACAAACACACACACACACACACACACGGACACGGACACGGACAAGCACACACACTGGCAATCATGCACACACAGAAGCGGGCACGCGCACACACACAGGCAAACACACACACACACACACACAGGCAAACTACATGCACCCTTGTCCCCTCTTCAGCTGTGGCTTGGAGTCGGGAGAGGGGGGCCAGAACCATGGTATGCTGGGATTGATGGTCGCCAGTGACCAAAACATGAAGAATGAGGGATGGAGGGAAAGAGACTGGGGGAGGGCGTGGGTATGGAGAGAGCGATGGAAAGAGAGAAAGGGTATGTTCAATGAAAATGACTGTTTGACTGATTCTTTTTAAGTTGATTGCCTGTGAATGAAAAGTAATTGCACATTCAATGTAGAATGTAAACGGTACAGCTGAATTAGTTATCGATGAGAAAGCTATTCCGTTTATAAGAAAGGAAAGTATTTAAATAATGTATTTTATTTGGTTTTGTGCAGAGATTGTAATTGTTTGTATTTAGTAGTTACATTTTAATAAAAGCTCAATATTTTAATCTGTTTTAATTAGGTGATTATCTTCTCTTTATTGACTAAAGCTCTGAACTGATGGCTTCTACAGTTGTGGTTAGATGGAGTACAGCATTTTAGCTAAGCATAACCCTTTTCCTAACATTAACCTAATTATCCTAACCTGCTATGTTAATTATCCTAACCTGATATGTTAATTATCCTAACCTGATATGTTAATTAACCAAATCTTCTATGTTAATTATCCTAATCTGCTATGTTAATTCTCCTAACCTGCTATGTTAATTCTCCTAACCTGCTATGTTAATTATCATAACCTGCTATGAATAACAGAACAGAATA